CGCTGGTCTACTAAACCGACGTTTCAGTTTTTGAAGAGGTGGGTTTTTATTTTGGTTTACTATTCTGGTATTAACCACCTCTGAACCGAATGCAATGATATGTGTAACTGGAGAGAGCATAGAGTGATTATAGTTTCATTAAAAATAGCTAATTAAGTCCTTAATCATTTTTAGGGCCTTTTTGCACATGTGCCTTTGACTCGGATTATCACGTCTCAAAGAATGCAAATTTTGATTACAAATAAAGTGCTAGATGACCAACGAAATAAATAAAGGGTTAATTTGTTCACTAGCCAAAATTTTTTAATAATAAAAGATCTAACAAAAATTAATATATGTTAACTAATTGTATCCATTAGATTTAGATTTTTTTGCGTTAAATTTATATTAAATAGTTAAATTTTTTGTCATAAATTTTTTTGGGTTATTCAATCCAACTTCTCATAAAAAAACCTAAAAGAAAAACAAAGAAGAAGAGAGATATATCTTTTTGAAGTTATCAATTTTGGTTTGTCCACACTATACAAATGGTTATTGGCTATTGCGTTGTCAAATGCTTCAAATTCTCGAATAAGTATTAAACAGCCGCCCCAAGTAAAATATATCAAACAATGAACTGTAATGATCGAAAAATATCGCTATAATTTTCGTACATAATTTATGTTCTTAATTAAGAAAAAATGATTCGCAAGTTCCAAGCTACAACAACCAACATAATACAACTAGACAATTTTTACTCACATAAATAATATTAGAAACAAAAATTATGGCTCGTGTTAGTCATGAAATGCATGTATTTGCTTAGTCCAAAAAATAGGATTTGAACCACAACATCGTATTGCAGTTTTGGGCCTATCATGTATTCTCATGATTCATAGAATAATGAGTATAAATTCAAATAATTGCTCAAATGTAGCAGGCTCAAAGCCTTTTTTTTTTTTTTAGTATAAATAGTGGACCATTTTGCTTACAAGTTGTCTAGCTTAAGAGAGTCAGAGTAACAGAAATGTTAAATGTAGCTAGTTAAAGTTTTAAAAATATCAAAATTATGGTTGTGAAATAATAGAAACAAATGTTTTTTTTTTTGACAACTGTGGGTGTCTGGGTTTTTACCACCTGACTAATCCCCCATGATGCCACTTC